GGTAGATGTAAGGATTTCAAACAATCTTTAGCCGCTATGGTAGAGACAAGTCTGTGTCATGGACCAGTTTACTTTGATGTCTCACCAAATTTAACTCTATCTTTATCTGATAAGAATTTATTAGATGCTATTCAGTTAACTATTCATACTGATGGTTATAATTTCAAACCTGGAAGTGAGATCATAGCAATATGTTTTAGAATCTACTATAAGGTTCTTACTACGCTTAATCCTAAAGCAAAACAATTAGCGTTCCCTGGGACTACTACTTTGGTTCAAACCAATTTGTTAACTTCCAATGTTGCAACCAATAGATTGATAAAAAGGGATGAAATAAACATCCTAGAAACATGGTCTCTTCTCCAGGAAATAGATCCTGAACCTATCCTTAATAGGGATATAGATCAAATAATTCAAACTACTGAAGGAGATCTAGAAATAAACTTCACTCCTAAAAGAATAATTAGAATACCCAGATCTCTATCTGCTAGACAATCAGTTAGTGAATTTTTCACAGCTTCTAGCCAATTACCTAGACCTTCTACTTCTCAAACAAGAGAAGAGATAGAGGTTGTTGAGAATATAAGACTTAGCGAAAATAGAATCCCCCAAGGAATTTATCAAAAACCTAATACTCCAAGAGTAGAATCACTTACTCCGTCAGATATGGATTTCCAATTATAATGTTAGATTACTCCCCTGGTAGCAAGATAAGACAACTCATCAATGATGAGTTTCAACATGAGAGATATATTCAATACAGAGAATGGTTTTTTTAAAAATTTTCAAAACCCGAATTAGCTCAATTTAAAGATGAGTACTACACTCAAATGAACCTTGCGCAGGATTTTATTCCTTTTGTGAAATGGTTTGTTAACTATTTCATAAGTAAAAAACAAGAAGAAATTCTTGTTTTACAAAGACCTTGGGAAAATATTAGAGGCGAAATACTGAAAGCCCCTTTTCCCCCTGAACAAACAATAAGTTTGAGTCAAAATACTGAAGCTACCCCTTACCTTAATTTTCAACTACAAAGAGTTGAACAAAATCAAGTTACTCTTAAAGAATTAAATTTCGTCATCAGGTCTTAGAATTATACCAATGCTTATCTTGTTTTCTTAGGAGAACAATTTATCTCTATGGAAAAAGATCTATTATCCATAAAAAATCTTTTATAAAAACAAATAGCACGTCAAGATATTATTATTGACCTCATAAATAAACCTAAGGACCAGATGTCCACATCCGCTATTTCGGATGTTCCTATAGTACAACCTCCTGTTCCCATAGAGGGATTCAAATTGGAAACCAATGGTCAAGAATTTGTTCGTATTTTGGAACAAAAGTTAAAAGGTCTTAATATCACAGTTATGTCCCATGAAGATTATTCTGAGGATAATAATGAAAACCATATTCACCAAATAGCTGATATGTTTGCTAATATAGACATTAGTAACCTTGATATTAATAATGCTAATAGTAGAAACCCTATTTATTCTCCTAAACCTATAGAAAAGTATTATTATAAGCGTCCCTCACCGCAAGATTTACTCTTTGAGGAAACAGAACCATTCCAGAATTCTTATTCAGGAAAAGCCATTTATGAATGGAATGTTGATGGTCTTAATGAAAAAAAAATTATAGATACTATTCATAGAATGATCATGTATTCTACTGTCTGCAAGCAACATGGAAATTCAGACAGTTCTATAGCATCCTTTATAACTACAGGATTTGTTGGCCAACTTAGAGGCTGGTGGGATCAATATCTCACTGAATCCCAAAAATTAGAGATTCTTAATCATAAGAAAATTGTTAAGATAGAGCCAGGAACCAATACGAGCACTACTCTGTCTACCACCACCACCGGAGAATAAGACGCAATCTATACTCTATGTCTTTCCATCTTACAACATTTTGTAGGAACTAATGTCCCCATTGGAGAGAAAATCGAGACACTTCTCCAAAATCTGAGGTGTCCTTCACTCACCCATTTTAGATGGTATAAAGATACTTTTATTTCAAGAGTTTCTCAATTAAACAATCCTAATTATTTACATTGGAAAGCAAAGTTTATTGATGGATTACCTCATTTCTTTTCTGAGAAGGTTAGACAATCTTTAAGACAGAAAAATGATGGGATAAATATAAATTATTCAGATCTTACTTATGGTCATATAATTAGTGTTGCTACTGCGAAAAAAGGTGTAAGAAATGATAGAAGAGTCGCCACCGTTTATTATTTATCCCAAAAGAGGGAAAGGAAACGAGCAGAGAAAACCTAATAAAAAAGGGAGAAGACAGGTCATCACAACCATATCTCGGGTTCGGGAGTCGGTTACGCAAGGGGAAGGTATTAGCACCCCTCACGTCCGTCATACTCGACGGGATCCACGCTTATTATCTATCTAAAGGGTGTTTATCTATCTAGCTAAAGGTCTAAGGGACGAAAGAAAAGAAAAGAGACTCGGCAGAGCATCGCCGCTCTGTGCCTACGTATTCCCTCGTGCAATGAGAAAGTCAGAGTCAACGTAGTTCGGCTAACTACGGGTGAAAGGGGAAAGGTTGCTCGTCAAGACATCGTGTCTTGTGCCTACGTATTCTCGTCTGGTATGAGAAATAAGAGCAAATGTAGTTCGGGCTAACAAGAACACCGGTTGGTTCAAATGTTTTACTTGAGTAGGGTTAAAACTTAGTTCTAGCAGTTAGGTGTATGCAGCTCGACCATTGGAGACTTAGGCGCTACCTATTTGTGATAGAACTAAGAGTTAACAAAACTCCCTTTTATGAAAAGATTTCCAAATTAAGGGTCCCAAAGGACAAAATGAAGTTTGATGATTTGTTTTTGAAGTCTTTTAAGAGAAGAAGTGCATTGATTAGGGTCTGCAATTCATGTTGCACTAAAGACTATGACTTAGGAGCGAATGCGTCGCATATCACCCAAAGGGTGTACACTAAACACTCTAGACCATTAAGAGGAAGCCCCCCAATCACCATTTCCTAAGTAGCTTAAGGCTTATAGCGTACAACATTCATTAGCCTTTATTAAGTGTTTTGAAGGTGTTTTGAGATGAGAAGAGAAATGACACACTAAAGGGAGACTAACTCAAACCTAGTAGTTGTCATGCAAAATGATCCTAAGATTTGGATAAGAGAGAATGCTACCTAATGTTTTCATGCATGGGTTCAAGCCTAAGGTCTATCATAATTGGAAAGAGATTAAAGATCCTAAGGGAACATGGCAAAGAAAGCAAAAGAAGAAAGCATAATCAAAACATAAGATATGAAAGATGCAAATATGCATATGCAATGCAACACACAAGCAAAGGGAGGAAAAAGTGTGGGGTAAACACCTTCACAAGCACATCTCAACCTTTATTAATGCAAGAAGAAAATAGAAGGAATGCATTAGGGTTTCACATGATGTATGTCTTGCATTCTTTTGTGTATGTGTTTGCATTCTATTTTATGCATTCCTTCTATTTTCTTCTTGCATTAATAAAGGTTGAGATGTGCTTGTGAAGGTGTTTACCCCACACTTTTTCCTCCCTTTGCTTGTGTGTTGCATTGCATATGCATATTTGCATCTTTCATATCTTATGTTTTGATTATGCTTTCTTCTTTTGCTTTCTTTGCCATGTTCCCTTAGGATCTTTAATCTCTTTGCAATTATGATAGACCTTAGGCTTGAACCCATGCATGACAACATTAGGTAGCATTCTCTCTTATCCAAATCTTAGGATCATTTTGCATGACAACTACTAGGTTTGAGTTAGTCTCCCTTTAGTGTGTCATTTCTCTTCTCATCTCAAAACACCTTCAAAACACTTAATAAAGGCTAATGAATGTTGTACGCTATAAGCCTTAAGCTACTTAGGAAATGGTGATTGGGGGGCTTCCTCTTAATGGTCTAGAGTGTTTAGTGTACACCCTTTGGGTGATATGCGACACATTCGCTCCTAAGTCATAGTCTTTAGTGCAACATGAATTGCAGACCCTAATCAATGCACTTCTTCTCTTAAAAGACTTCAAAAACAAATCATCAAACTTCATTTTGTCCTTTGGGACCCTTAATTTGGAAATCTTTTCATAAAAGGGAGTTTTGTTAACTCTTAGTTCTATCACAAATAGGTAGCGCCTAAGTCTCCAATGGTCGAGCTGCATACACCTAACTGCTAGAACTAAGTTTTAACCCTACTCAGGTAAAACATTTGAACCAACCGGTGTTCTTGTTAGCCTGAACTACATTTGCTCTTATTTCTCATACCAAACGAGAATACGTAGGCACAAGACACGATGTCTTGACGAGCAACCTTTCCCATTTCACCCGTAGTTAGCCGAACTACGTTGACTCTGACTTTCCCATTGCACGAGGGAATACGTAGGCACAGAGCGGCGATGCTCTGCCGAGTCTCTTTTCTTTTCTTTCGTCCCTTAGACCTTTAGCTAGATAGATAAACACCCTTTAGATAGATAATAAGCGTGGATCCCGTCGAGTATGACGGACGTGAGGGGTGCTAATACCTTCCCCTTGTGTAACCGACTCTCGAACCCGAGATATGGTTGCGATGACCTGTCTTCTCCCTTTTTTGTTAGGTTTTCTCTACTCGTTTCCTTTCCCTCTTTTGGGATAAATAATAAACGGTGGCGACTCTTCTATCATTTCTGACACCTTTTTTCGCAGTAGCGACACTAATTATATGACCATAAGTAAGATCTGAATAATTTATATTTATCCCATCATTTTTCTGTCTTAAAGATTGTCTAACCTTCTCAGAAAAGAAATGAGGTAATCCATCAATAAACTTTGCTTTCCAATGCAAAGAATTAGGATTGTTTAATTGAGAAACTCTTGAAATAAAAGTATCTTTATACCATCTAAAATGGGTGAGTGAAGGACACCTCAGGTTTTGGAGAAGTGTCTCGATTTTCTCTCCAATGGGGACATTAGTTCCTACAAAATGTTGTAAGATGGAAAGACATAGAGTATAGATTGCGTCTTATTCTCCGGTGGTGGTGGTAGACAGAGTAGTGCTCGTATTGGTTCCTGGCTCTATCTTAACAATTTTCTTATGATTAAGAATCTCTAATTTTTGGGATTCAGTGAGATATTGATCCCACCAGCCTCTAAGTTGGCCAACAAATCCTGTAGTTATAAAGGATGCTATAGAACTGTCTGAATTTCCATGTTGCTTGCAGACAGTAGAATACATGATCATTCTATGAATAGTATCTATAATTTTTTTGTCATTAAGACCATCAACATTCCATTCATAAATGGCTTTTCCTGAATAAGAATTCTGGAATGGTTCTGTTTCCTCAAAGAGTAAATCTTGCGGTGAGGGACGCTTATAATAATACTTTTCTATAGGTTTAGGAGAATAAATAGGGTTTCTACTATTAGCATTATTAATATCAAGGTTACTAATGTCTATATTAGCAAACATATCAGCTATTTGGTGAATATGGTTTTCATTATTATCCTCAGAATAATCTTCATGGGACATAACTGTGATATTAAGACCTTTTAACTTTTGTTCCAAAATACGAACAAATTCTTGACCATTGGTTTCCAATTTGAATCCCTCTATGGGAACAGGAGGTTGTACTATAGGAACATCCGAAATAGCGGATGTGGACATCTGGTCCTTAGGTTTATTTATGAGGTCAATAATGATATCTTGACGTGCTATTTGTTTTTATAAAAGATTTTTTATGGATACTAGATCTTTTTCCATAGATAAAAATTGTTCTCCTAAGTAAACAAGATAAGCATTGGTATAATTCTGAGACCTGATGATGAAATTTAATTCTTTAAGAGTAACTTGATTTTGTTCAACTCTTTGTAGCTGAAGATTAAGGTAAGGGGTAGCTTCAGTATTTTGACTCAAACTTATTGTTTGTTCAGGGGGAAAAGGGGCTTTCAGTATTTCGCCTCTAATATTTTCCCAAGGTCTTTGTAAAACAAGAATTTCTTCTTGTTTTTTACTTATGAAATAGTTAACAAACAATTTCACAAAAGGAATAAAATCCTGCGCAAGGTTCATTTGAGTGTAGTACTCATCTTTAAATTGAGCTAATTCGGGTTTTGAAATTTTTTAAAAAACCATTCTCTGAATTGAATATATCTCTCATGTTGAATCTCATTGTAACACCCTTTTTCTACCCCAAAAATATTAAGGCAAAATAACACATAGATCAGAGTGAATAAATAAATCTCATTAAAATGCCACTAAAAGGGCGTACATTTCTCAATTTCATCAAAATAGGTCCATACTCCGTAACTACGGGTTTTTCCCAAAAATACATCAAAGCATCATAAACAGCGGAATTCAAAACATAATTAATCAAAATAACATCAATAGTATAAAGTCAACTCAAGGAAACCAAAACCATATGTTACATATCAGAGCAAGACCCTCTAAGCTGACCAAAAGACTAAAACGCTCAAAAACTTCAAAATTAACTTCTCGCCGGTGTCCACGGCTAAACTGGATCATCTGCACGTCACCCATGTAGAGGTAACATTCAAACAGGCAGGGTGAGTAAAACAATTCATAATAATCAATGTATGACAATTAATGCATAACCGGAAACATATTCATATTCAACACATTCATATTACTCACATTTTCCTCAAAGGTCACAACATCATAATTTATACACAAAGACTCATAAATGCAATGCAACATAACTCAATGCATGTGGTACCAATCATCACAGCTCAATGGACACTGGGCCATCAACCCTCCATAGATCCCCATCAATAGGATCAGAGCACGTCAAAATACTTCACATCCACACAGTGGGATTGAAGCCAAAACAGTCGAATGCGTATGAATGCATGATGCACACGTCACAATAATAATCCTCATAATACAGCATATGGTGCATCATCATTCTTCATACTCATCATCATCACATAAATCACATAAATCATCATATCTCAAGTCATCACATAGTTCATCAAATCATAGTAATTTCATCATATTAACTCAATCGATACATCATGGAAAACTATCAAAACATCATGTACACATCACCTAAAACCCACTGTCATACTCATGGCAACTCATCCCAGAAATCCCAGAATCACACATCACGGCATCACTGCACAACAATCAATTTCGCGAACTTCTGCTACGTTCGCTGGCTCGCTCGCGAGGCGAGTCTCGTAGCGAGCCCCTTGCTGGCTTGCTCGCTAGGCGAGCCTCTAGTGAATCCTCGCTAGCTTTCTCACTAGGTGAGTTTTGTAGTGAACCTTCGCTAGCTTGCTCGCTAGGCGAACAGTGCGATGACAACAACTTCTGCTATGCACCAGAACTGATTTCCACCCAAAAACTGATACAAATCATTCACCCAATGCCCCCAAAGTATCCCTAAACCATCCCTAAGGTTATACGACAATAACGGTACAAACTCTATGGTTCATTAGGCTAATCCGACAACATTTGCACTGCCTAAAACACTATTTTCCTGCAATTTCTCTGAGTGCATCAGAGTTATTCACATTTGAATATTCGTATTCCTACAGGGTTACACATACAACTATCCAAGGTTTTGGTATCCAAACTCATGTTACACATCAAACAATCCGATAAGGTCTCCTAAATTCATGTCAATATTCAGGGATACATATCATAACCCACAATCTCAGAGTTCTATAAGATTCTCTTAGCTTTCCCAATTCAACTCAGAAACCCTCAAATCCTAAATCCACAATGAATACATCTGAAGACATAAATGGAAAATCATGAACTGAAATACTCTTCATACCTTAGTCGATTCGCAGCTTTCACGATTTCTCTTTGGGACCTTCTGCCTTCAACCTTTCCTTCAGAGCTCTGGCCACACCAAACTTTCACGTTAAATACAAATAAATTCCAATTTCCTCTCAGAACTCTATTTTGTCTAACTTAGTCATGGGCCTCACACATTGGGTTTTCCCCTCATTACCCTTACTAACTTCCTCAAATGCCCAAATTGCCCTTATTTCACTTATATTCCATTTAATTAATAATAACACTAATAAATTAATATTATATGCTATTAATCAAATTAATACGTGAAAATGCACATTTTTCCAATTTTCACAAAACCACCGGAAATTCATCGAAACATGAATATTCTCAATTAAATAATTAATTAACATATTTCGATTAAATTTGGGGTGTTACAACCCTCCCCCACTTAAAAAAATTTCCGTCCTCGAAAATTACTTGCAGAAAATAGAGTCGGATACGACTCCCTCATCTGATCTTCACGTTCCCAAGTCCAACTTTCTCCAGCTGGTCCTCCCCACAATACCTTCACCAAGGCGATCTCTTTACCTCATAGTTGTTTCACTTCTTGATCGTCAATTCGAATAGGAAACACCTTAACAGTCAAATCATCTCGCACTTGTACATCATCCATCTGAATCACATGCAACAGATCTGGAATGTACTTCCTCAACTGGGACACATGAAACACATCATGCAAATTCATGAGCCACGGTGGTAAAGCAATCCGATAGGCTACTTCCCCCACCATTTGTGAAATCTGATACGGACCAACAAAACGCAATGTGAGCTTTCAAGACTTCAAATCTCGACCAACACCAGTTACCGGCGTAACTCTCAGAAACACATGATCTCCCTCTTGGAATTCAAGTTCTTTCCTCCTCTTATCATGGTAACTCTTCTGACGACTCTGTGATACTTTCGTCTTCTCACGGATCATCTTGATCTTTTCAGTCGTCTCTTGCACAGTTTCAGGTCCAAGCACAGCACTCTCGCCTGATTCATACCAACACAACGGAGTCCTACACCTCCTACCATACAAAGCCTCATACGGTGCCATTTCGATACTAGACTGGTAACTGTTATTGTAGGTAAACTCAACCAACGACAAATAGCTATCCCACGATCCACCTTGATCCAAAACATAAGCTCTCAATAAATCCTCTAAAGACTGGATAGTTCTTTCTGTTTGTCCATCCGTCTGCAGATGATAGGCAGAACTCAACCTCAACTTAGTACCCAAAGCTGCCTGCAAACTCTCCCAAAACCTCGATGTAAATATCGGATCTCTATCGGACACAATACTCGACAGAACACCATGCAACTTCATAATCTGCTCAATATATAATTCAGCAAGCTTCTGCAACGAATAATTGATCTTCGTCGGTACAAAATGAGCCGATTTAGTCAATCTATCAACAATTACCCAAATCGAATCATATCCCTTCACTGTCTTTGGAAAACTTGTCACAAAATCCATAGAAATGCTATCCCATTTCCATTATGGAATGCTCAATGGTTGCATTAGACCCGACGGTCTCTGATGTTAAATCTTCGACTTCTGACAAGTCAAACAAGCATAAACAAATTCAGCAATTTCCTTCTTCATACTAGGCCACCAAAACAACTTCTTCAAGTCTTGATACATCTTTGTGGCACCAGGATGAATACTCAACCCGCTTCTATGACCTTCTCTGATCTCTTGGAGAATACTACTAGTCAGTTTCAACATACTGTTGCACCCTAATTTTTGACCTTAAGATCCCACCTCCTTATGTTTTTACGTGTTTTCTTTTTACGTATTATCATGACTAACAAGGGTGTGCAGGTGTACGAATTTCAAAGGGAGATGATACTTATTCTTACATACAAGCGTATCAAGGCTATTCAGAGAGCATGGATTCGACTTTATGACCGTATCCCACATTAAAGTCATGACACATCCACCATCCAAATGTACAAGTTATGAATTCAAATCACAAGTGGAAAGTTCTCATTTTAAGGCTAATCTTAAATTAAGGGATTCATTACAAGCCAAGTCTTCTCCATTTCAGTTTACATTTTTCGCAGTGAAGGGATTAAACGTCAAAGCTTGAATTCATCGTTATCCAGGATACGCTACTCGACATTGGCATTGGTATATCATTAAGAGTGTCACATGATTTGGAATAAATCTGTATTGATTCAATCGAGGACCTGCTATGATTAATTGAAGAGACTTTGTTTTTCATCATAACTATGACTATTAAATCAAAAGTTCATGTAGAATTTGGAACTTAAGATTTACAATACATGGTATCCTCCCTTTTTTTACAAAGCTTTGGTTACAAAACAATCCCTGCAAGAGGAAGATCAGAGAGTATGTGAAGGGTGTTTGTGACAACATACTTTCTACAATAATAACTACACATGAGTAGTACTTTATACAATCATATAATCCCCTGTCCGGTTAATCCCGCTATATCAAAGTGAACTCGTCATCTAATGTGCGCCATGAGGCTTCAACGAACAACCGCGCCGGAGACGTTGCGACTTGAGCTTAATCCATGAATTGTGTGTAAAATACAATGATACCAGCAGCAACTTTGAAGCAAGCACCACAGCTGCCTATTCCTTATCAAGCATCATCACCAAGCACATGAAAAGGGAGGAAACAGTGTTAGAATGCATATCAAATTTGATTTGGAAATAAGAATAGATGAGCATATTCAATAGTTTGTTGAGAGCAGGGATTTTTATGCAACTAATGGATTAACAGTAGGCATGTAAATGAAATAAAAGCAGTATTCCCCAATTCGACAGCAGCCTGACTTCGTCACCTTCTTTTGGATGAGGATCGTAACTTAGAGATGTTTCTTTCC